TCATGTCTAACTAAAATATCTATTCTATTCTCATAGCAAAGGCTAAGAAGAAAAAAACAAAAAACCACACACACACACACACACACACACACACACACACAAACGCAACCTGCCCAAAAGGTTAGAAATACAACCCTTTCCTTCTCCATGAGATAAACTACTATATATAACCACAAACAAAGCATTTTCTTAAAGAGAAACTGCTACAGAGAGTTGATGGAGGTTTTTTTGTTTTGTTTTTTGGTATGTTGTTATTGTTTTGTTTTGGGTTTTTTTCAGTGTTTTGTAAACCATAAAATAAGCGTGTTCCTTTAGTAAGGCTATCTAATAGTACAAAATATTTTGCTTTATTAGTACAAAGGTCATGAAGAGACATTCATAAGAGGAAAGCAAATTAGGGTTACTATCCATGTGAAAGACTCCTGAATCTCACTAGTAAACAAAGAAAATATATGTAAAATGTGATATTACTTGTTGCCAAGTATTAGATTAGAAAAGATGAAAAAGCTAATATAAGAGTTGGTGAGAATATGAAGGATAAACCCAGGTTCACTGATGCAGGGCCATGGAATACTCTGATTTGTAAATCCTAGCCCAGGGAATTGATTCTAAAGAGATGCTTGGTCAAGTGTTCACAATATGTGTCAAAGTAAAACAGTTGTTTGTAGTAGCAAAAAACTGGTCAACACCTAAATGTTCATTAATAGGAAATCTGTTAAAAATAAAAACAAAACTATGGTACAGCCACACAAAACTCGGCATTGTTACAAAACTAAATGTATTGGTTCATGTTTAAAAAGAAAAAAAAAATCAGGTTTCATGTACAGCTGATTCCATTTACCTCAAATTATGCTTATATAGAGGTCAAAATTGGTAAACTGTCTCTGGATGGTAGCATTGGGGAGACTTTGCTTTCTTCTACATATTTTTTTCTATTATTTCCTTTTAAATTTCTAAAATTAAAACTAAAACATGTATTGCCTTTATAAATAGAAAAATTTTCCTTAAAGAGTATAGAGAAAAAAGATCAGGCAGGTTCATCTCTTCAATAAAGTGGATACTGAGAAGATATTGAACACAATGTCCTCACTTTAATCAGCTGTCAAACAGACTAAAATCCCTAGAAATCTATTATTTCTTATGGGCCCATCAAAAGTTCACAGGTAGAGGCAGTACATGGAGACATTACAGTATCTCAGTATTCAGTATAAATCCATTAGTTTTACTATAAAAATAAAATTAAACTGGAGATATGTTATTAATGTCAAGAAGCTAAAGGAGTACATAATCACCACAGTAGTTTCTTATCAAGGCTTATGAGCCAAGCCTGAACTCGAGTCCTAGCTCCTCCCTTACTAGGTGGGAATACTCAATAGAGATTTCAAAGGAAAAAGCTTGAGAGATTACTATCATTATTAATTATTTAGAAAAGAGACCAAGAAAAGGCCACAAAACCCTGTGCTATGGTTTGTATGTGTCCTTTCCAAAATTCAGGTGTTTGGCAATAAGACCTTATTAAGAGGTGGGGCCTTTAAGAGGTGAGTGGACCATGAACACTTTCCATTCATGGGATGAAGGCTCACATAAAAAAAGGCTTCATGAAGTATGCTGGTTTGCCCTCTGCCTTCTGCCACATAACGACTCAGCATTCCATCCTCTCCGGAGGATGCATCCCTCGCCAGACAACTGAACCTGCTGGCATCCTGATCTTGGATTTCCTAGCCACCAGAACTTCGAGAAAATAAACTTCTGTTTTTGAAAATTACCCAGTATAGTGTACAGTGCTTAGGTGGTGGATGCACAAAACCACCACTAAAGAATGTATCCATGTGACCAAAAACCACCTGTGCTCTACTGAAATAAATTTAAAAATGCAAAAAATAAAAATAAGAATTACCCAGTCTGTGGTATTCTGTTACAGCAACCCAAGAGACCAAGTCACTCTGCTAATGAATTAGTTAGCTACACCTGCGAAATATTTCGGGCACCTTAACATACCTTAGTTGCAGAAGATAAGGAATTTGGTAACTTTAAAACATAGAATTTGACACCACTCTTCCTATAAAGTTAATTTCAAAAGCATCACAGCCTCTGAAAAACAATATTTTCTCCAAGAACAGAAAGGCATCTTTGGATACTCCACACATAAGTTACATGAATGGGACATTCAGGTTGTAAAATGATACTCAATAGCTGCTTGCCAATTTTGAATACTCCTGCAAAAACAAATGCTTCCGTACCAAGGTGTTCTTCAGTTGAGTTGTTCACACCTGAGTCGACTAAGAATACCCGGTTATTACCAGGTAACTTAGGCACACATGATCTCAAAGCAGAGACGGGAGACAGAAGTCACACAAATCACACTGAAAGGCAGAAACAGCACACGCTATACTGCCAGAGTTGTCCCTGTAGAAAGAATGATCTCAGAGGTAGAAAAAGAGATGTGCATAAAACCTGCTGAGGACCAGTACTTTTTTGGTCTATCGGGTATATTTAAGAGGTTAATAAAAATCAGTACATCACATTTACTTATTCAGTTACACCAGTGAGGATGAAACATGAAAATATTACCTCGATAATCCACTCCAGAATTTAATTTTACCACAACTGGTCGTCCGATGATTTGCTTTAAGAAGTCACTAGGGGTTTGCTTCCGAAGACTCATTTTAACAATCCTAAATCAAAACATGAAAAGGGGTAATAAAGGTAAAGACAAAAGCTGATTAGTCAACAAAACCCTTAAAGCCCTTAGTATTTACAGAAAATAAAGTATCAAATAACCATGCAAGAAGACTCATTATTACTCCACTACTACTACATGACAGCTAACAGGTTTTCAGCACTTACTATGAGCCAGATACTAAGCTATAACATTCTACATGCATTATCTTATTCAGTTCCCACAACACCATGGCATAGCCTCATTAGAGAAAAGTCCTGTGTTTACAAAGCACCTGCTCTTAATCACTTATCACTACTGCCTGACACATAGTCAGTATACCCATTACAACCACTACCACACCTCCATTAGTGAATGGTTGGTTATTTTATGCAGAGCATTCTGCTAAGGTTTTTATAAACACTATCACATTTCATCTTTACAAGAACCCTGGGAAGAAGGTCTTAATACCCTCATTTTGCTGATGAAAGGCACAGAAAGATTAAATAATTTGTTCCAAAATGTGATGGAATATTCAAGTTCAAATCAGTCCTATTTTAAGTCTTTATTATATAGGACAGACACATTTATAAACTGATGCCTAAATGGTATCTCTGAAAAGAATAATAATATAAAGGTAATTTCGAGTGTACCATATGCCAGCACTTTTCCAAGAACTTTGTATGTATTAATCCATTTAAATTGCTCTACCCTAAAAGGCAGGTATTGTTTTTATCCTCATTTTACAGATGAAGAAAGACATAGAAAGCTTAAACACTCTGCTCAAGGTCACACAGCCAGAAAGTGGAGAGCCAGCCCATATTCTTAATCACAACCTTAAACAGCCTTCTGAAAGTCACTATCGCAGCCAAAGACTTTTAATTAGTTTATTATGACTATAGCAGATATGTGCTCTAAATAATGAAGAAAAAAAGTCTTAAAATATAAGTATAAAAGGAGTCTAAAATAGAAAATGAGATAGCATTACACACCCAAATCAACAGTAACAGACATGGAAAGCTGCACATCACTCCTTTCAAAATGCATCTTTTCTTATATAATAGCTACCTCTTTCAAAATATGTTGGCAAATTAATAAAATTGTAGCTAAGCAAAAACTGAGTAAAAATATTTTAGAAATTAATGTTTCTGTTTCAGTCAAATTCAGCATCACTTATTATTCAGCAGCTATATAGCACTGACACTTAGTACGGATACAATATTTTAAGAATTCCCTTCAAGAGCTCAAGCTGTTCTTTTGTTTTCAATGAAATTTTTTCATTAAACATCCTTCCATTAATAGCATTGCTTATTTCATTCTAAGTCCCTCCACTCAATAATCTGAATTTGTGTGTAGAAGGATTGTTTGGAGATATTCTCATAGTGAATTCATACATGATCAGCAGTTGGAGTAAGCGGGAACTCTAGGTTATCAGTTTTTCATTTGTTCAACAAATATGTACATGTACACACTGAGCAAGGGGATTCAAAAACATGTCACACACAAAGGCTCTGGCCTTAAATTTAAATCTAGAAGAATTTAAACTCTTGTTTAAAGAGTGTGAGTAAACAAAAGCAATCATAATTTAAGTAAATTAATTATCTTTAGCCAAGAAAAGTCAACATCCTAAATCAAATAAAATACAAATTTCAGAAATTATTGTTGAATTTTAGGCTATCACTTGGACAATCTACACTGCCCCCAATGCTTGAAAGATGTTTTCAAAATGCAATCAACTGATTATTTTGCTCAACAAATGTTAATTTAACTTTTCCATTGAATTTCCAGCTTTTTTTTTTAGCTCCACAATCTCAACAGATAACTACAATTACAACTACTATTCAGGACAACCACTTTTCATTCAGGACTCAGATCACACAGCAGTTTTATTTATACTGTTCTGAGTACAAAGAGAAAAATTACAAAGTAAATACTGTAACATATTCAGTACCTTTAATGAGTTTAGTGAAAATCCACAAATCTTCCCATTCATCTATAAACTGCCTTATTTGCATTTTGAACACATGCTTTTTTGTGGCCGAACACATCTAGAGAGAATATTAACTCTGAAGGCCTGATACTCAACTGATGAGTCAGGTTCATTTCCTACAACAGATTCTAAATCCCATTATGCCACAGTTTCATCACGTACAAAACTGAGATGGAAATAGCTATTTTGTGTTAAAGACCAGTAAGATGTATTGTAATGTGACTCTAGTTCACAGAAATATTATTAACTACTTTAATTATTAGTAATTTCACCTACTCATAGAGTATTTACAATTTGAGATTAAAAACATAAAGCAAAAGCTGGAAGGAGAGTTAATAACTGTCAAAAAAAAGAATGCAAATCTTGACTATCAGTTGCTTGACAGTATAGGTTATTTTAAAGGTATTTTTAATATTAACTTTCCGCACCTTTTTAAAAACAGAGATATGTTCTTCTAAGCTCACCAAAGATAATGCCTTGCCCAATAATGCCTTATCTGCATTCCAATTAACATCAATCTCTTCTGAAGACAATCAACACTTCCAACTTTCACAGAGCACCTGTTAGGTGTCAGGCACATGGAGCTGCAGAATGTTAACACAAAGACAAGGCCTTAAACCCTCAGAGTTCACATTCTACAGAGGGCAAAAAAACATGTGAATGGAGAATTTTACAAAGGTGATGTGTATTCTGATAGAATTTTGCACAAAAGAGAGCAGAGAATCTCCTATCCCAGGTTTGGTAGATCAAAGAAGAATTTCTGCAGGTAACACCTGAGCTGAGTTTGAAGGAAAAGGCGTCATCCTCCAGCTGAAAGAAGTCAGAAAAGGCACGGAACACGTGTCTGGGTAGAAGGCAAAATCTACATAGGGAAGGAGGAAACACCTCTGTGGCAGGGAGCTGCACCACACTCACAGGGGGCATGGACTTGAGGCTCTGGGTCAGTTTCCCAAACTTGAATCATTAGGATCAGCTGGAGATTCTACTCAGTTCTTGGGTAGGAGCCAGGAATCTATTTGAATAAGCCTAGGAAATAACTGGCAAGGGGAAATACTGTTGTCAATGATAGGAAACAGGGAAACCGGGGTTTTAAGCAGGAACTTGCTTGGGTTCCACTTTCAACTTTGCATAGCCCATCTCACCTAGTTTTGGCATCACACAGTTTGGTATTAGATTTTACTTGCTATAAATCAAATTACTTGCTATACAACCTGTCACTATGCACTCTTTTGTATTCTTTTCGTGGGTCTTTTCTCCCTCAAAATACTGTAAGCCAAATGACAAGAGGGGCTGACAAGCTTCTCAACTGTTCTCTAGAATATCTACATTCTACTAAATCTCTGGGGAAAAAAATACTTTTAAGGTTATTTGAAAAAGAGTATATGGGCTGCCTCAAACACATTTTATCCATCACTTTAGGAAAGCCATATCTTTTACATTAGTCTTCATTAGGCTTCCTTGGTACTCCCTGTTACTTAATGACTTGCCCATAAATCCATTTTGTATGGGTAAATTGGTCTTGACACCACAATTTTTCCCAACACTTGGCTCAAGTAATTTTAAGTTTTCATCTTTTAAATTGGATAAGGCAGAAGGAACAGTTTTGACAATTTCTGAAGCAAGAGATAAGACTCTTGAACCATAAACACGTAAGAGGAAAAAGACCTTTCTTCACGGTGACCTTGATAAAACTTCTCCTTTCAAAATTAAAGTCATTATCACTCTCTATACCTCCTCTCCCTCCCCTGACTCCTACTCAGGCTTGTTTTAAATGATCTATTTTCATAAATGGCTATTAAAGGCAGTATATTTTCTGTCAGAAGCTACTGTGAGGTCTAGTATGAGAACCTTTACAAAGTGCCCTGCAGAGAATTTTTTTCTTTTTGGTAAAAGAATGAAGAAAGAATGAACTTTTATTAATCCAACTATGTGCTACCAGTGTTAGATTCACAAGCAATTTACAGAGAAACCCCGTGAGGTGGAAAGCAAAGCCAAGGTTAACCTCAAAGCCCAAGCCCTTTCCAAGGTATAACTGCTTTTCTGAATATGTTAAGATTCCCTGGTTAAATCTTGGGGAATCACAATACAGGTGGTGAAAAATCTAATGGGAGAGTGGTATCGCTGGGGAAAAAATACCTAACATGAAAAAATACTGTAAATTAGCCTCAAAAAAATGTAATGGCCAAACACAAAGCAATGCATCTAATGTGATCTGAGTTATGCCGCTGAGCAGTAGAGATGAAAACCCTTATTTCTTGGCAATGTTTACCTGTAAGTTTTTACCTACTCCTAGAGTATTTACAGTTTAGGGTGGAAAAAATTGAAAAGCAAAAATTGCAAGGAAATAACATTAGAACCCAAGTAATTGCAGCGTTAGACTAACACAGCAGTGTCTGAGGAGGCAATCGGACACTGAGAAGGACAGCTCTCTAAATTCCTCCCTCTGACAGTGGAGACAGCCTCGCTGTCTTTTGAAGGCTTCATACCAATCCTTCCTTCCTGAGCAGGTGGGGCTCCTTCTCTCGCTCACTTCCCAAAGGCAAAGTGAGTCCACTCAGAGGATCTCTTTACACTCTCAGTCGTGGCCCTTATCAGGCCGTTTTGTAATGTTTCCGTTTGCTGACTGATCTCCCATGGTGAGTTTTAAGCTTCTTGGGGACAGGGAAAATATTTTACTCACTTGGTATCCCTGGTACCTAAGCACACTGCCCAAGTCTGTGGAAGTGACATTCAAAGCCAGTGTCAAGCAAAATTCCTGTCCAGCCTCCACCAGCCCAAACTATGGGTACAGTGACTATGGGTACAGTGACTAGTAGTATCATGCATGTACTTCAACAAATACTAATCAAGTAATCTCTATAATGACCACCAAAAACGGATAAAATAACAGTTTCTGTCATTCAAGAATCAGCTGTATCCGAATCTAGAGATGCTTGTTAAAATGCAAATTCCTGCAGTCTACTGAGGTAAAGGCACTATATTTTACATTATAAAGTTCTCCAGATAATTTCTATAAGCAAGTGGTTCTCAACTAGGGGCAATCCCCTCTGTCCTCCCCCACCGTGTTCAGGGACATCTGGAAATATCTGGGGACACTGTGAACTCTCACGACTGAGGCAGGTGGTGCTACCGGTATACTAGTGAGTAGAGACCAGGGATGTTGCTAAACATTTTACAATGCACAGGACGGCCCCCCACAACAAATTTGTCCAGGCCAAAATGTCCATGGAAGTTGAGAATCTCTGCTATAAGCTCTAAAATAAAAAAAAATTAAAAACCAACAACATTGTTCTTTGGCCTTAAAGTGAGGAGTTATAAAGAAATCTCCAAAATACAGCAAATGAGAACCAACACCTACATCTAAACAAACGATGGAGTGTAGATTGTAATTTATCAGGGATTTTTTTATTCTAACATATTTGTACTTATAGAGAATCTGAAAACAACTGTCAAAGTCTTGAAGGGGTTGCCATTCTAATAACGGATTTCTAGCCTGGGCCATGAAAATGATCACTTTACAATTTTTCAGTAGTAAAGATCCCTCTGATGATTAAAATGTTAGTACACTTTTAAAAGGAGAGAATAATCCAAGTGATGTAAACATATTTTTAAATTCTAATATCTACTATGCCACAGTTCAGTGAGAGGCTGCCTGATGCAGCACAGAGTACTCACTTGGGACGCAGGAAACCTCAGCTCTAATCCCAGCTCTGCTACTTAATTAGCTGTGTGACTTGAATAACTCATCTCACCTCTCATGGCCCCAGGTTTCTCATCTGCAAAATAAGGGAGTTATGCTAGATGACCACTTAGGTCTCTTCCTGCTTTAACATTCAGGTAGTCTAATACAGTTAACTCCAGTGATACACACACACATACACCACAAACATAAGCCTCTCGAGATTTCTGCACAATATTCAATCAAGTTAAACTGCCACCCACCTCTAAAACTTTTTTGGAAAACACTGCAGCAATGTGTATGAAGGCCTAAAGACCCTATGGATGACAGCATCTAATCTGATAATTTCACTTGAGAATCTAGTCCAAGGAAATAACCTAAAAAATAGGGGGGGTAAGTTTATCAAAATATGATCTGGGATGCTAAGATGATGCAAAAATTTCAAAACAACCTAATGTCCCACAGTCGGGAAATGACTGAATAATTTATGGGACCTACACTGGGATCCACAATGATGGGCCAATTCTTTTGTCACTCAAAAGAAGATACAACATTAGAATAATATTTAGGAAGAGTTTTTAAATGGAAGTGGAAAACTACACTGTTAAGTAATTAAACATGAACGGTCTTAGTCTAAGTAAAAGCTGGCATTATACAAGAGAAAAAGATGGTAGGTGAAAGGGTTCAGTGAATATAACTTTCTTCACTAAAGTCTTCTATGTTTGCAATTTTTCTACAATAGTCACGTATTACTAACAGCAGTGGGGTAGGGTAATTCCAATCATCCTAATCCTACATACCTTAAACAAAAATGCCTGCTATGCACGCACGGGAGCACGCGCGCAGACACAGAAAACCTCTGGCGATAGGACTTAAGACCATACAATCGGGTTCCCCAACCAGGCAACTCGGTAATTCAGGTTAGTCCAGCCCTTAATTCCTGTGGTCAGGTGCAGCCACTCCGATGTAGGAGAGGCTTCGCAATTCCCTGAAGCCTGGAAGAATCCAGGCAAAGCCTAGGCCTAGGTTCGGGAGCCGCTTTCCCGCCGAATCCTGGGATTAGCGCTGGGGTTCCCTTGGGGAATTTCGACAACCTCTGAACAACTTTGTGCAGTCTCGAACGCCAAGTCGACGGGAGCCGGGACGGTACCGCTCCTCTCCTCGCACTGTAGGCGCCTCCCTGACGGCGGTTCCAAACGCCCACCAGATTACTCCCGGCCATTCTGTGCACACAGAGCTTGGACGCGGCATTTTGCCGGGACCTGCCACCCAGCAGTCCCTCCCCGAAGCCCCAACCCGCTCCCCGCAGGCCCTTTCCGAGGCTGCACGGCCCGCGCAGCCACGCGGCTCACCTCCCCGGCGGGATCCAGAACCCTCACTACAGGTACCACAAGAGTCCGGCCTCCGCGGACTTCATCGAATCGAAACCGAAACCTCCGAGGCAGCGGTACTTTTCTGTCTCAGCCAATCAGTGCTCTTCTCTGCTACGGCAGCCCTCTGGGGCCGAAAAGGCCGGTCCGCGCCAAAGCGCGCAAATCCAAGAATCCTGGTTGGTTTGTCCAGTGGCGGAATTGGTGCAATGGAATTCCTCTAACAGAAATCCGGGTACAACACAAATACAATTAAATACAAAACAAAAACAAGAATCCAGAAAGGTAGAAGTGATCTTTTGGGCAGGATTTATTTGCAGAGTGTAAAAAATAACTTGAAGTCATACAAAACTGGAATTTACAGTTTAAGTAACTGCTGTGTGTACCCAGAAACGTCCTTGAATAGTTTAAAGCAAACAAATAAATAAAGCAAACACCTCAAGTCTTTAAATCTGCCTCTGGATATTGATTAAATGTGTGAAGACTTAAGCCATTTTAGCAAGAGACTGTTTCCATGACAATGTTAATTGATACAAAAATAATTAAAATCACTCAAGTAACTCCGAATTATAATGACATTAATTGTGTTACATTAAAAACTAGTTCCAACTGAAAATGGTGTGCAGACATTATCTGAGTGCTACTATGAGAACTTGGTTTGGAATTTTGCATGCATTCTCAATACTCTTGCTATTAATAGAACTGGAGAGGGAAAAGAAGGGAACAGTTACGCCAGGACTTGATTCCTTTTTCCCTACACACATGCTTTCATCAGCTGAAACCTTATACTTTATTTTATTTATGATTTGTAACACTATACACAAAATGATAAGATCTTCCAACACAGATCCTTAACTCCATTAAGTGTTATAAAATCTAAGATGCAGAATGTTTTTCTAAGATGAAGAGTTCCTCCCTTGTATCCCTGTTTTGGCTAAAGGCAGAAGAAATGAACCCTTGATATCAGGAACAGAAAGGAACTGGATGTGATTTGGTAAAGAATAGAGACTTCCTTATATCCTTCTACAAAAGCTCAGTTTGGGTAAAGACAAAACCGTTACAGACTTATTGAGAGGGCTGTATTTGAAGTTCTTGCAATATAAAATATAATATAAATAAAAATTTTAAGAAAAGTGCCATTAAAATTAAATAATTAGTTGCAAAGAACAAACATGATAGGATAAAAAATCCTGTCCCTAAAAACTTTCTTTGCAAAAGACATCAAATTGCACACTCCTTACTGGTTGTTTCAATTATTCAAAAAACAATAAGTTTTTGATTCAAACTTCTTTCCCTTTCCTACAGAGCCCTGATGGAGCGGTTAACACTGGTGTGGTGGGTAGGAAGCCATGAGTTTAAAGGCCTCGTTCATCTGCGGAGCAGCTGCAATCTTCTCCAAAGGGAGTAGCTGGGTAAGGGGCCAGCTTGACATACGGGGTGGGCATCCTGAATTATTTCATGAGCTAACAAGCTTATAAAAATTGTGCCTGTTCCCAAAAGCCCCTTAGCAGCTTATAACTGACATTTTCTAACTCGCAAGGCAATTTTCCATATTTCCCAGGTTTTTGCTTTCAGCATCTTTTTTGATGCAAAGAAAACATTGCAAGACTTTTTGTGAAATACTATCTTCCAAACCCTGAATGTAAACATTAATTTATTAAGGGCCTTAAAGTCATAAAAATATTATGCAGAGGTTTAGTTTAACTTGCGTGGTTTAGTTTAACTTATTTAATTTAGTTTTGTTTAGTTGTTAGATCTGATGAATCTATGCTGACACATCATTATCACCCAAAGGCCAAGGTCTACATTAGGGTTCACTCTTAGTGTTGCACATTCTATAGGTTTCAACAAATACACAATGAAATGTACCCACAATTACAGTGTCGTACAAAATAGTTTCACTTCCCTAAAAATTCTCTGTGCTCCACTTATTTATTCCTTCCTCCCCATTAACCACTGGCCACTACTGGTCTTTTTTCTGTCTCCATAGTTTTGCCTTTTCCAGAATGTCATACATTTGGAATCATACTATACATAGTTGGGGTGCATATGCTGCACCACCACACTGTGTAGCCTTCTCAGACTGGCTTTTTTCACTTAGAAATATGCATTTAAGACCACTCTATGCCTCTTCATGGTGTGACAGTTCATTTAAGTTCTGAATAATATTCCATTATTTGGATGTACCACAGTTTATCCATTTACCTACTAAAGGATATCTTGGTTGCTTCCAAGTTTTGGCAATTATGAATAAAGCTGCTATAAATATTTGTGTAGAAATAAGTTTTCAGCTCATTTGGGCAAATATCAAGGAGTATGATTGCTGGATCATACAGCAAGAGTATGTTTAGTTTTATGAGAAACTGCCAAACTGTCTTACAATGTGGCTATACCATTTTGCATTCCCACTAGCAGTGAATGAGAGTTTCCGTTATTTCCCATCTTCACAGGCATTTGGTGTTTCCAGTTCTTTGGATTTTGACTATTCTACTAGCTGCTTAGTGATACCTCATAGTTGTTTAAAGTTGTCATTCCCTAGTGACATGTGATATGGAGGATCTTTCTATATGCTTATTTGACATATGTACATCTTCGTTGTTTTTTCAGGTCTTTGGCCCAATTTTGAATCAGTTTGTTCTTTTTTTTTTTTATTGTTGAGTTTTAAGAGTCCTTTGTGTATTTTAGATAATACTTCTTTATCAGATATTTCTTTTACAGATATTTTCTCCCAGTCTATGGCTTGTCTTTTCATTCTCTTAAAGCTATTATGCTTAAAATAGACAAATGTGGATATAAAAATGCTAAAGGGAATTCTTGCCACTTCATTGTTTGTCTCAAACTTCTACAGTTCTATAGTACATATGCCTTTAAATAACTATGTCATTCAGTGTTTCATATTCATAAAAGAAGGTCTCATGTGTAGCTTATTAAACATCCAACAGCCCTGTGAACATGCAGGTGATTGTATTATGTTGTTGTGGTGGTTGTTGTTGGTGATGATGAAAATGATAAATGCAAACACGTAATTGGATTGACCAACACTCTCCAAAGCAGATTTTCATACCTTTCATGGATATTAGGCTTCTAAGAATACTGGCTGGTATTGATGGAGCAATGCATTAACTGGTATGAAGTGCTGGCATGGACTTGAGCCTTTCCTGGACCTTCAGACTGTACAATAGGAGCTCATAAGCTGTGTTGTCCTTTAGTTTTAGACACTTGGACCACTATTATTTCCCTTTAATCGTGGGATATGAAAATTATTTGTTAAATAAATAAGGAGAGGCCAGGTGCAATGGCTCACACCTGTAATCCCAGCACTTTGAAAGGCCGAGGTGGGAGGATTACTTGAGGTCAGGAGTTCAAGACCAGCCTGGCCAACATGTTGAATTCTGTCTTACTTCAAATTTTAAAATTAGCCAGGTACAGTGGCTCACGCCTGTAATCCCAGCACTTTGGGAGACCGAAGGGGGCAGATCACCTGAGGTTGGGAGTTTGAGATCAGCCTGACCAACATGCAGCCTTACTAACATGGAAAAACCCCGTCTCTACTAAAAATACAAAATTAGCCAGGTGTGGTGGTTCATGCCTGTAATCCCAGCTACTTGGGAGGCTGGGGCAGGAGAATCACTTGAACTCGGGAGGTTGTGATGAGTTGAGATCACACCATTGCATTCCAGCCTGGGCAACAAGAGTGAAACTCCGTTGCAAAGAAAAAAAAAATTCAAAAATTAGCTGGGTGTAGTGGCACACACCTGTAATCCCAGCTGCTTGGGAGGCTGAGGCATGAGAATATCTTGAACCCGGGAAGCTAAGGTTGCAATGAGTGCACTCCAACCTGGATGACAGAGTGAGACTCTTGAGAGAAGGAAAGAAGGAAAGAGAGAAAGAGAGAGAAAGAAAAGAAAGAAAGAAAAAGAAAGGATATAAAGAAGAAGAAAGAAAGAAAAAGGAAGGAAGGAAGGAAGAAGAGAGGGAGAAAAGGAGGGAGGGAGGGAAGGAAAGAAGGAAGGAAGGAAAGAAAGGAGACAAACACTCTCTAGTTGTTGAATATCTTCTGAGAAGTAATATAAGCTTATTGACTGGTAGGCAAATTTCTCAGAAAAAGTAGTATGTCTTTTATGTTTACCCAAAGAAGGGATATATTCTACATTATGGGCACTTTCAGATGTAACGTGAGATGTTTAAATAATGTTCAGACTTCATCAGCCATCATTTTGGCATGGCTTGAATTTTAAAAGAGATAGGATCAGAGTCTAAACTCCTGGAAGGAGAGTCTCCCAAATGCCGTGATGCTTTATGCTCCACGGTGAACTCCAGAAAACCTCTCTCAGCTGTAAAATTCAGTGAAATCGGTGTGAAGCTGCCCTTGTATTTTAATCAAGATGAACTTGAAAGGTGAACATTATAAGTGGGAGAAATTATTTATAATTTGGCAATAAAAGTTTATGTCTAACACTCCAAATTTCATACATCTGCTATGTGCTGGCCCTGAGATATAAAACAATTGAAGTTGCCTTTACATTTGGCCTTATATGAAAGGTCATAAATTAGAGTGATAGGGTTCGTCCTCTTTCCTAGCTCACAAAATTTCCATATTAACATCTTCACCTCAAACATAAATGGTTACCCAGCTACAAAGAAAAGAGTTGTATTGGCCTTTATGAATTATAGTTTATGTTGGAAATCTGTGCTACATATGGCTGCTATTTAGCTTGTAGAAGAGTACATCTACTTCAATGAAGCTAATTCTACCACAGTGAAACTAATTAAAATTGTATGGCCAATTTAAATAAATAAAGTACAGCATATAAAAATTTAGGAATACTTTCAAAATTAGCAAATGGTTGCCAAGGTATGTGATTCTTTTAACT